GCCGCAGCCCCACTCCCTCCCTTGGTGTGGGGGCCTCGATCTACACCCCCACCCCTGCCCTTTCCCTCTCCCAGACCAGCCAGATGCTGCTGTCTGAGCTGCCAGGGTGTGCTCCTAGCAGAGTGCATGCTGCGTCTGTGTGCATTTAGCGAATTTATCAGTGACATCATTGACCACATCAACCAAAAAAAAGCCAATTGCCAATAATGTCAATTGTCCTTTTATCAGTGCTGATACAACATGAACTGATGTTATCAGTGCATTTCTAGTAATTTCTAAATTTTCAACTGGTAAATTTTCACTAAGTGTCTTTCTGCACATAAATGTTTCATAATTTTTAGTCCAACAACTAATATTTTAAACACCTGTGCTTTTTAATTATATTTTTGAGTAATGAAGAGGTAATATAGTCTTTTTGCTTTTTAAAAGAGACTTTTTATGCTGTCTGAGCCAAAAGTGTTGTCTTATAAGTTTGAATATTATTACGGTTTTGTCCTCCATAATAACAATTACTTATAACTTCTTACATTTTATTTATATGTTCCCATAAAAGGCCCAGGGAGCATTTTTTTTAAAAGTAAAAATAAGATCAATCATAAAACCAGGTAAGATATTAAAATAAAATAATAAATGATAAATAGTTACCAAAATAATACCTCAAAACTTAATCAGATTAGTTAATGTATGATTGATTATGAAACCTAATTAGCTGTTTTCTAGAGATCTTAACATTCAGATGAGCCCTTGGTATTAATATTTTTTTCATTGTGCAGATCTTAAAAAGTTTTAATACTTGTGTATATCTAAATGTTGATAGTATGAGACCTAACCGTGAGATTTTTAGAAATGCAGACCCACTAATATATCCTTGGATTAGTAAAGCATTTGTGTCGGGAAATTACAAGTGAGGAGAAGTAGTTGAATTTGTAAACAGTGCAGTTGGGGAAGTGGATCAGAGACAAGGGCTCCATATGCTTCTGTGGCTGGGAGCCCTCAGTCAATTGACCACCACCCCCAGCCTCCGGAGCACACAGGAGACTTGAAGGGCACCAGTGTGCTCTGGACACTGGAAGCATTGGCCACATTTTCAGTCAAAGATCTGATAGGAACCATCCATGAAGTTATTACACATCTTGTGTAATAACTTTATGGTTTATTTCTCATTTTATCCCACCGTTAATTGATTTACTTATGTCATAAATATATTTGAGTAATCCCATATGTATGCAATCCTTCTTCGCTGTTGCTTTTTTAATAGCTATACTCCTTTCGCAAATGGTCCCAATGATACTCCTGAGGAAATCCTGGTCCGGATAGGCAGTGGAAAATTTTCCTTAAGTGGAGGAAACTGGGACACTGTTTCAGATGCAGCAAAGGTATATACATGGTTTTTACATTTTCTGGTGTTCTCAAGAATGCGGGCAAACAAGTTAAAATAATAATTGACTAGTATAACTCAAAAATACACATGTTAATGCAACTGATTGAAGTTGTTCTTAAGTATGGACCATATGGTATATTTTGATGCTTTCATATGTTACAACTAAATCAAGGGCTATGTTTAATAAAGGCAGAATGTTTTACAGTGTCTCAGAATGCATATATTTAACACTTAAAGTGATGCTTGCAAGAGTAATTTAAATGGATCAATCTGTAGTGTAAAATATTTCTACTGCTGGAAGATTAGTTTCTTTGGAAAACAAGAATGATGATGTCATTTTATAGATAAAACCTGAGTTACATTTCCCATAGCCCTCAGTTAAAATGAGATGAAAACTAATTATGAAACTATGCAGTCTTCATGGGAGGGAGGGGTAAGGGAGCTGAGCCTCCAGATGCATGCTTCTTACTTCCCTTATAAGCAGTGTGACCATACCCATGATTCCTTAGCCCCGTCCCGGCTGGTTGGTCAAAAGTCCCAGGCCGGAGCCTGGCAGGGAGGAAGGCAAGCAGACTGGAGCAGGCACCACCCCACCTGCATATGGCACGTCCTTGCTTCAGCACAAGAGCAGTGGTGCTTGCCTGACACACTGCCACTCCATCTCCCTGCCAGACTTGGGCCCAGGAGGCATGGCCAACCGGACAGGACCGGGCTGTGGAATCCTGGAGTGTCGGACCTGGACGTACGGCTGTCCTGCTTATGAGCACCATTCTTTTATGGACATCAGGCTCCCGGTGCACACTTAATCATTGTATTGCCTCCCAAAGTTTTGGCATAGAAATGAACTACACAATCAAAATTAAAAACTGAAGCTTGGATAGTTGCACTTGATTTTACTAACTAGGCTAATCGAGGGCAGTCAGCACAGAATAAGTGTTGTTTTATTAAACGGATTCACCCCACAACTGTAAAAGCTGTCATCTTCTAGTTTGGTGATTTATATTCTAGAATATAGCAGCACAGAATAATAGACTTCTCTATACAGTCCATGGTATTTGTGATTTCACAAGATGATGTAGTCAGTAAACTAGGAAGAATCAAGAGAAGTTTACAGGGAAATATATTTTTAAAAGTTATTTATATATGCTTTTGGGTATATGTCCAGCATATCTAAAGGAAACATTGAGCACAGAAATCTAAGCGACTTTAAGATAGTAGTCTAAAACTAACCATTCCTGATCCTTCAGTTAATGAACATAAAAACTGCAGTTCTGGTTTCAGTCTTGAACTATCAAGAGTCCCTCTAAAGATTATTTGAAGACTTTATTGAAAAAAATCGTTAGGAAGACAAGATCTGATGATACTAAATGGAAGATCCAAGAATTTTTTTCAGAAAAATGCTGAGGGAGGTTGTTCCATATTTCCAAAAAGAAATAGCATAAGTAATGCACATAATTTTTGTTTGACAGCTTGCATTTAATTTAAATGTTATGATTATATAGGGCTTAATTTACTGCTGGATTTAACTAGAAAAAATAGAAGCAAAGGTTTTAAAGAATACTGACTGATATGAGGGTTGAAGAGAAACAGGGAAATGTATTTAGCTTAATTATCTGGCATGGAGTGTTATAAAATGAAAGCAAAACAAAAACCATAATGTTAAGAAATGTGACTCAAACTAAGAAGTTGTGGGGGAAACAGATGATTGCCACCTACTTAACATCTGCGTATTTCAACTTGTAATGTGTTTGCAAATCCAGTGTTGTAACATTATGCTAGTACATGAAAATCAATGAGCGAAACTAAGTTCTCTGTTCATATACTAGCTAGATGAATTGCAGAGTAACAGACTTAAATAGTAAAAATTAGACCATTTTAAAACATCTGCATTCAATGTGCGGTGGTACTAATGCAATAGATGTTTTCAATTCTAAATTTTTTTAACCTGACACAGTAACAGGTTAATAGATTTTTAAAAGTCGAAAGAGCGCATTATTGATCCTCTAATCTGACTGCCTGATTTAAATCAGCTGTAGTATTTTGTTCCAAATCCCTGAATTGGTGCCTAGCTTGTGGCACATCTTTAGAGCGATATTTAAGAAATGAATGTCTAAGAGACTCCAAGTAATGAAGAATTATCTGTATCTCTTGGTAATTTATTCCATTAGCTAATTATCATAACAACATTTTAAAATTCAGTTTTTTCTAGCTTTAACTTCTAGCTTGAGGATTATATTCTGGTTTTGCCTACTGCATTCAGAAAGCTTTTTTTTCCTGATCAGAAATCCTCCTCCCTTCTACACCGCCTTCCCCACATGTAGGTATTTGTCATGGCCTGAGGTGTACTTCCCCTTACTTAGCTTATCCAGGAGAAGTAAGCTATACGTAGGCATAACAGTTTTATGGATATCAAAGGATATGAATATAATTCAACTTAATGTATTTACCAGAATCCAAGACAACTCTCCAATAAGTAGATTCTATACATAGAAAATGTATACGTTTGTTATAACTTTCCATGTATAGACTAATTGTTATTGGAGGGTCATCTTAAAATTATCCCTGCCACCAGTGCATCAGAGAAAACAGTGGCGGGGGGGCAGGTGGTGGGGGTGGCAGTGCAAAACAGGCAGTTAAGGAGGCAGATGGAAGGGGCAGGCAGCTTCCCCCTGCCACCCTTTCTTTATCTGTTGCACCAATTGTAAACTGTATATAAAGCATGTGTATAAAACAAACAATTATAAAAGACTCTTTAGCGTAAAGGTTTGCCTTGTGAATTCATTTGTAAAGGCCTGCATAGCACAGCACATTGTTTTTGGATCCCTGTGCTGTCAAGCTACCAGCTGCTCCACTTTCAGTTGCTGATTTTCTTGTGTTGCAGCCTTTTAGACTGCCAGTGCAACTTTTTTTTTTGTGTTTATCATAATTTAGACTTTAATGTATTGTATTTTTTCTTTTTCGGATATAACCGTGTTTGTATTTTTGTAACTTTAATCTAGGACTTGCTATCCCATATGCTTCACGTAGATCCACATCAACGCTACACAGCAGAGCAAGTATTAAAACACTCGTGGATAGCTTGTAGGGATCAGCTGCCACATTATCAACTAAACAGACAAGATGCACCACATCTAGTAAAGGTAAAGCAAAAAGCTTTTCATATCAGTTTTTGTAATAAGTCAGGGGGATAGAGTCTTGTTCAGCTTCCAATATTTTGTCTGTCTAAATTCCCAATTCAGGCGAATATAATATTGTTCTTTAATTCTCCTAAAGTTGAAAATGGATTTTGGACTTCTTTTACTGCAAATAGTTTTAGCATGGAAATATAGGTAAAGACTTTTGTGCAAAGGTGTTTGTCTATTTCTCCAGTATATACTTCACTTCAGGTTATACTTTATGTTGATGCTGTAGTATCAGAGGATTAAGAGCTAATAGTCTGACAGCTTTTAGTAGTACAGAGGAAGAAAGGGCATGCAAATGGAAGTGGCAGTAGATAGATGCCTAGTTGTTCCATGGCATGATTCCTCATCCACAGAAATCCCTTTTACCCCTGTTCTCTAAGACTGGGGTTTTATAAGAAGTATTTTTGAGGTGAGAGAGAGAGTGGCTGCTCTCTCAAATTCTTCTCATACGTTACCTTCTATAACATTCCTATTGGCCATTACGTTGGCTCTTGATATGAAATGACAGAATAACCAGCCATGGCTACCAAATGCTCTCCTCTGTGATTTGGATTTACCATATTTACTCAAATCCAAGAGGCCCTCCCCCTGATAACACAGAGGGGAAAAAACCCCTTGTCTTGGATTTGAGTATGAGGTGGTGGGGGAACAAGCAGCTGCTGTGGCTCTGGCTCCAGCCCTGTCCCCACAGTGGTGGGGACAGGCAGCTGTTACGGCTCTAGGTCTGGTTCCACTTGCAGAATCACAGTTGTAACTGCAGTCTGTTCCCCTCTGCCCTCTGTTTCCTCCCCTTTCCCTGCCCCCTTCCTCTCCCCGCCCACCACTTACCCTTGCTCTGTCTAGCCCTGTCCCACCCTGGAGCACAGAGCATCCACTTGCTCCAGCCCTGGCCTGGATTGGTAGCAGTGGCAGCACTAGCCAGGCATTAGTCAGGCCTGGAGTGCCATGCTGCTACTGGGTTAAAGCAAGCACATGCTCTGTGCCCCAGATTGGAGCAGGGCTAGAGCCTGCTGAGGCAAGGGTAAGCAGAGGGGCAGACAACCCTACCACCCTCCTACTGCCTGCCCCCCTGCCACTGCTTTCCTGCTGCAGTGGGGGTAGACAACAAATTTAAGAACTCTTCAGTAATTAGGATCTATACATGGAAAATTACACAAATTTTATAAATTGTCCATGTATAGAATCTAATCATGGAGGGTTGTCTTAAATTCAGAGTTGTTTTGTTTTCAGGTACCAGGATTGTCACATCCTATTATACGTATGTATTTACTCTAATACTAGATTCATAGATTGTTAGGGGCTGGAAGGGACCTTGCAGATCACTGGGTCCAGCCCCTCTGCTGTAGACAGGAAGACAGCTGGGGTTAGGTGACCCCAGGGAGGTGACTGTCTAGTCTCCCCTTGAAAACCTCCAGGGTAGGTGACTGCACCACCTCTGGAAGGAACTTATTCCACAGTCTGGACACCCTAACAGAAGGAGTTTTTTCTGGTATTAAGCCTGAAGTGGCCTTCCAGGAGTTTATATCAATTGGCCCTGGTCTTCCCTGGGGGTGCCCTAGTGAACAGTTGTTCACCGAGCTCCTGATGCACTCCTCTGAGATAACAGTAAACTGCTATCAACCTTCTCATTAGGGTAAAGAGGCCCAAGTCCCTCAGCTTTCCCTCGTATGGCTTGCCTTGCAAGTCCCTGAACATACAGGTCGCTCTTTTCTGGACCCTTCAAGTTTTTCCACGTCCTTATTGAAATGTGGCATCCAAAACTGGACGCAGCACTCCAACTGTGGTCTCACCAGTGCTGAGTACAGAGAGAGTATCACTTCCTTAGTTTTACACAAGATGCATCAGTCAATGCATGCCAGTGTGTTGTTTGCCTTGCTGGCCACCGCCTCACGCTGACGGCTCATATTCATACGATGGTCAGTCATTACCCCTAGGTCCCTTTCGGCTGTGGTGCAAGTCAGGCTACCACGCCGCACCCGGTATCTTTGTTGAGGATCCACTGTCCCCAGATGGAGCACCTTACACTTGGAAGTGTTAAACTTCATCTGCTTCTGGTCCACCCAATTCTGGAGCCTGTCCAGGTCCACCTGGATCTGCAACCTATCTTCTGATGTGACCACAGTGCCCCATAACTTGGTGTTGTCCACCAACTTGGCCAGTGAGCTTTTTCACTTTTTTTTCACTCAGCTTTTCATCCAAATCATTCGGCTTTTCATCCAGATCATTGATAAAGATGTTGAAAAGCACTGGTCCAAGCACAGACCCCTGAGGGACACCACTGGCCACTTCACGCCAGGATGACACAGATCAATTCATGAGAACTCTCTGGGTCCTACCCTGTAGCCAGTTTCCCACCCACTGAACCATCGAGCAGCTGAGCCCACAATCCAAGGCTCCCGATTCAACATAAGGGAGGACAAGTCCATTGCCTTAAGTTTGAGTACGAGGTGAGGGGGCAGACACAGCTTTGCTGCAGCTCTGACCTGACCCTTCCAGCTGCCCCTGTGCCAGCTGCCCCCCTGCTCTGCCACTTAGTGTCAGTAGCAGTTTTGGCTCTGGCCTGGGACATGGAGCACATAATGGCTCTAGCCCTGAGCCAGCCAGGCAGCAGTGGGGCTCTGGCTTTGGGGCTGGTGTCAGAGTTTTTGCAACTGCTGCTGCCTGGCTTGATGGGTGTCAGAGGCACCATGTGCTCTGTGCGCCAGGCCAGAGCTGCAGTCGGAGCCACAACTAAGCATGATTGGCAGTTGGAGGGGAAGCCAACAGGTGGTGGGAAGCGGCAGGGGCAAAATGTTCCCCCTGCCACCACCATCCCCAACAAGTGGCAGGTGAAACGGGCTGCAGGGAGGGCAGGGGACAGGCCACTTAACACCCCCCCTGCCACCTGCCCCCATGCAAAACCCACCTCCCTGCCATTGGTTTCCTCACTGCAGCTGAAAGAAGGAGGGGATACGAGTTTAAGACTACCTTCTAATAATTAGATTTTGTACATGGAAAATTATAACATGTCTAAATATTCCATGTGTTAGAATCTAGTTATTGGAAGGTCATTTTAAATTTAAAGTTGTTTGGATTCAGGTAAATACAGTAGATTGGATACATTCGTATTTCCATACTTGATTATGAATTCATTAGGTTAAGGTAAACATTAAGTCAAAACTAACAAGTACAAGATACTTTATGATTTTCTACAAAAGCGTCAAGCTGTTTTCTGCTTTATACTGGCTCCTTGCCAAATAGAGTTTAGTTTGTGAGATCAAAACTTTCACAAGAGTGGGAACGAAGCTGTAGAACCAGCCACTTCCAGAGCTAACTATAGAAGCATTTCTTAAACTTAATCTCACTGTTTCTTTATGCAGTGCAGCCATTCATTCATTCATAAACAAGCAAACAAATTGTTGATAAACTAATTGACCCTTTCCTCCTTTCTATAAACGGAAAGAGAAAAGTTTGATACTTTTCTCAAATACTCATGTAGTATGGGCCATATAAGTATTCACTTATAAGTAAAAGTAAGTATATGTTATAGTTTCCCTTAAGGTTTTGGCAGGTCTCCAGTCATTATTATAGAATCAACTCCATTTTTATATCATGCTTTTAAGATATTTCTTGTATTGTGCTTTATAATATGTATATTTAAATAAACATGGTCTGGTAGTAAGTAATAAAGAAATAGTAAAATACAGAAAATTAGGACACAATTGCTTAGTCTCTTTAGTGGTATATTCATGCCTATTGATTTATTTTAGGCATGAAAGCATTTCCTTACAAAATTGCAGTTTTTCAGCTTAATTCTCTACTGATATATATTATTAAAGCTATGGTGAGCTGCACCAGCAGAGAAATTTCATCCCTGCAAGTCAGTAGCAAGCCATTCTTTTTTGCCAAATGATTTCAACCCAAAGACCAAAGTTCAAAAATAAATACCGGTAGGCTAGGGACAGAAGTTACACAGTTTAAGTCATCAGTAACTGATTTAAACCTGTAACAACATTAGTTCAGTGCACATAAACCAGTTTTCAAAATGGCTGAAACTGGTTTAAAATAAACCTGGTTAAATGCAGTATCAGGCTTAACTGATTTGGGTCAAACCAGTTTATGGAATTTCTCTCCCAGACCTCTTCCTGGTTTGAGTTAAATTGGAGTCCCCCAGCATCCCTGCATGCTTTCAGCCCTGGACTGGGCTGTGCTGTCTGCTTCAGAGGTCAGGGCTGGCCCTGCCTCTCTGCTCTGGAACCACAGCTGGGGTAGGGGGAACATGATCTGACGCCAGCTGGGCACGGCCCCCTAAGGCAAAGGGGGCATTCAGGAGGTTTATTTCCCCTCCTTCCCTTCTCTTCCAAGGGGACCGCAGCTGGCATGTGCCTGGCCAGGGCAAAGCAGCCCCTGTCGAGGTCATCCCACCCCTGCTGCTACAGTGGCAGGGGCATTGCTAGTTGCTGGCTGGCATGGCCCTGCTGTTTGCCCACCTCGCCCAGGGCTCGGGGTGCTGAGCTGGGCTGGCCCATGGGAAGTGCTGAGAGGGCATGGAGGGGCCGGCCCAGGCTGGGACACGGGGGCAGGGCCCTTCCCAGCTGGCTGGGGCTGCAGGAGCTGTGCACCCGGATTACTCCCAGCTCCCTGCACCCAGCCTGGCCCAGGCCTCCCTTCTGGCCTGGCCCAGGCCGCCCTTCCACGCCAGCCGTCAGCAGCACCCACAGCCAGCCCCCTTAGCCCTGGGCTGAGGCAGGTGGATAGTGGGGCTGGGATGCGGTGGCAGAGCCCTTCCTAGCTGGCTGTGGTTCCATGACAGCCTGGGCTAGTACACACAGGAGGCACCTGGCCGGACAGTGGTGCGGAGGCAACACAGCTGCGGGCGGCTGCTTTGGCAGCAGACTAGCTGCGCAGGATGAGTCCATCGTGCCTGTGGCTGCCTGGGCTGGTTGGAGGCGCTGGCAGTCCCAGAACCCAACAGCTACCTGCCCCAGGGACTTGTGTGCCAGCAGCCACCACCACACCTCAGATATTAAACATTAATTATTCCTTCACCAGGAAAAAAAAACACCAAAAAAAAAGAACTTATAAAAAGAAGTTCTATTTCTGTGGCATTTGCACTGTTTTATAAAAACCTTATATTTAATATTCCGTAGTTTCTAGATAAGAGTGAACTTTTGTTATTTCATTGTTTTCTAGGGGGCCATGGCCGCCACATATTCTGCACTGAATCACAAGACATTTCAGCCAGTCTTAGAGCCTGTCGCAGCTTCAAGTTTAGCTCAACGACGGAGCATGAAAAAGCTAACATCAACAGACTTATAGATCCACTGGGGCACCTTAGCCAAACTGGAGCAAGGGAAAAACCAACAAGTGGCTCTGTTTTGCCTGACCTGTGATCAAAAGGCATATATGGTTTCCTGCTAAACTACTTGAATTCTATAAAAGTCCTTTTTTAAAAAAAAAATCCACAGGTTCAGGGGGATTCATACTGTGTTTTACAGGCAGTGTCCATGTTTATTTAAGTTGAATGTCTGGGTGTGTTACACAAACCATAAGAAATTTTTGTACATTGTCTTTTAAGATTTGTTGCAAATATTACTTTACATTCTGTATAGTTTCCCTGGGTTCATAAACAAATGGTTTAGGGGACCATTGCCAGTAACCAAGTTGTACATAAGTGTCAGCATCAGGCCCTTTTATGAGATATCTGTTGGTTCTCAAATTTCTTTGTAATTGGGCACTTATGAAGGGACTCTGTTTAGCTCACTGATTGTAAGGCAAGACTAACAGGTGCATTGTTCCAGGGCAAAATGGATTTGTGCTAATTTAGGAGCTCTCCACTTCTCTGGTGACAAGAATTGAAAAGTGTTACATACAAATATTTAAAAAGTGACATGCATCTTAGGCCTGTACTTGTGTTAAAATGGTCACTTGTAGACCACAGCAAGCAGTGATAAGCAAGTGATCTCACAGAGGGGAACAGGTGTTTCTATTGTCACTTTGTACCTTTTCACAAATAATTATAAGCTTAGAGAAACGCATCTGCTTTCACCATATAGAATTTAACTGTTCTGCACTGAGCTGTGAAAAGTGATAACATTGAAAAACAAGAGCCTAAATGGTATTGGTACTACTTTGGATTAGGATGTTACGTCTCCAGATAAACCAATATACTCTGTGTTGCCTATCCTGCACAGGGACCATATTGCTGTTTCTTTAGCTGTCTTTTCTGTTGGATAGCAGTATATCCAATTTTAACTTGTCCTGGATTGTAAGGTGTAAACTGACACTTTATTGTAGCATACTTGGCATATGGTTTTTTATTATTTTTATTTATTTAACATTATGTAAAATTGCTTATATTTGAATCTCTGGGGGTGTGTACAAATATTACAAAAGACATGCAAAATTCTTCAACTTGTCTAACCACCAGGGAAAACTGGGAAATAAGCCTTGTGATGAGCCCAGGTAATTGTTAGATATGGGACTTCATTTAACTAAAAATGGGAAGTAGGTTATGTAACTTTGGACCTGTTGGTGAAAGCATCCTGCTGCCAGTCTGACCTTAACTGCTATGGTAGATCACAAGGGGATAGTTAGTCTGCAACCAGGCCAGGGCCAATATCATTTTAGAGTTTTCTAAATCAAAACCAGCGCTTTGAATTGCATCTATAAGCAAAGTGAAAAATAGTGCAGTTCATAGAAATAAAACATTTCACACATTTTAGACCATAATACACAACCATTCTAATAGGTAATAGGATGATTAAATATCTTAAACATTAGAAAAATATACCAGTAAAATATTGTTAGATTTGAACACTTCAGACTGACTAAAGTCAAGTGTTATCCAAACTGGTCTGCCCTCAATGAATTTCTGATTCCAGATGATGCTTTAAGCAAGTCATAAGATGCTAATCCTGGGGAAAAGACAGAGGACTTTGCATATTAAACAGTAAAATTAAGCCTTTTGGAGGATTCTGGGATAAATACTAACTATAGTAGAAGCTACTGAGAACCTAAAATGTGGAGAATATTCACTGATTTGTTTTCATTTTGATTTTTTTTTAATATCTGTGAAGCACTTGATGGCATTGGGAGTACTGTAGATGTACTGCTGCTTTCTATTTATTGCAGTGGGGGAGGTGGAAATAGTTTTGCTAAACAAGTGTTTTAGGTTGGGATATATGTAGGTTTAAAATTTGATACACATGGAAAATATGTGTATTGTATCATGCCCAGTACTACATTTTCTTGAGTGTAATAGGGTTTGGAAAAATTATGGCCCACTTGTGCCTGTTTTGAGGTGCTCGTTTGAATGCTTGAAAGATATATCAAAGAATGCAGCTGCCACGTGGAAAGCATATTATTTAGAAACAATTCTGCTACTTATTTTGTTTGTTTCATTACCATTTAGACCCATTCCTACAGGTAAGCACTCGCTTGTGTTTATTTTGCAACGTAATATTGTAATTTTATTTGTCATACTACAAATGATTGCTCTGAAATCAAGGTTACCAAAAGGTTGGACTGAATGGGAAACAAAGTGCACATTGGAAAAAAACCCCCACAAAGATCCAGGCATAATGCAGATTACAAAGCTAATAATAAAAGGAGGAAAGGAAAATGTTTAAAATGCTGAGCTGGATTATCTTCAAAATTGTTTTCCCCGCCCCATCTCCTTCACCCCATAGGGTAGCAGCTGGTCTTTAATGGCTTTGTTCCTGAGTGATTTAGCTGTGTTTACACTGCTATCTTCATTTAACTTGCTCAGAAGCACTGTTGTAAGCACCTTACAAGCATTTTGCACAAAATCAGTGATAAGCAGTCCAAGATAAATAGTGTGTTTTGGGGATTTTCTCAGTGTGCAGGATGTGGGGGGCAAAGGGAATTAAAGAGTAAAAATGTGCAAATAAGCTAATTATGCTGATTATTTAATACAGCATTTAGAGCATCTTCTGTAATCTCAGTCCTCCCAGTGTATAAAATGTTGCTAAGCTCTAACACAGGTGGCAGTCCACAGGCAAAAAATATGGTTTTGCTGACTGCAATACTGCGAAATTAGTCTTTTCACAAAGAAAGTACATAGACAACACCTTTGTTGTATTTGTCACAAACATGTCATGTGCCTATTTTCATCTTTAGTTTAGAAGGAAAAGGCATGCTTATTGTAACCAATGTAAGCAAAATCAAATCTGATCTATACACTACAATTTCATCATGTCAGTTTTGCTGTAGTGCTTGATGACCACCTCATTTATTAGTTTTCTTTTGAGGATTGAATTGAAATTTCTTATAATAAAGGAAAATGCCACCTTAGTACAACTCAGTAGTTATGAAACTCTAAGGTAAATGTAAAATGAACTTCTCATTAGTAATTTGTGAAAAAAAGTTTGAAAATGAAGACAGAATGATTGGAAATTAACAGAATCTGCATCCCTTACAAATGGCTTTCAAACAATCAAAGATTGTTTCATTTGTTACCATTTTATTGTGGTACAAGCTTATAAATTAGCTACAGTGTGAATTTTTATTTTCATACTCAAGTCCTTTTAAAAATAGGAGTGCAAACTACACTGCCATCCTGCTTAAAATGACCCAGCATTGTAGTAACTCACTTTCATTTCCAGCAAAATAGGTGCACGCAAGTAATATTTCAGCAGCACCAATTGCAATCTCTGCTCTTGTTTGCAAAACTAATCTACCTGGGCTTGATTCTGCTACCACTAAAATAGGCACCCATTGGATTTAACTGGTGCAAGAGCAAACTCTTAAGATTTTCCTTATTCTGTGTACTGTCAGATTGTTTACTCAGGTGTACTGTTTGCAAAATATAAATTCTACAGTGCAGAACTTTGCTGGCCCCGTTACTCAGAAGTTATGCTGTGACACCACCAGCAGCTTTTGCTGGAGAACCAAAAGTATCCATGGAGAGATTATCATAAGCCTTTGTTTGTTTGTTGTCTTCTAATTGTATTCAACACACAGTTTTTAGCCTCTTGCAGATTTTTCCTTTTGCTCGAAAGGAGTTCGTCCCTTTGACCACACTGAAAAATTGATGTGGTCTACAGATGCTGTCCCCATGGTGGCTGCACTGCTGTACAGTTCAACAACTCCAGACAGCATAACTATCCCCAAATATCATAAATATGAAAACCCCCACAAGTCAGTTGTAAATGCTCAAATTCCCATTATAAAGCTCAATTGTCCTTTTTCTGCCCATTTTAATATTTTTTTTTAAACATGAATTTATATATTCACGGTATACTGTAGAGACAAAAAAGATTAATTGGACCACACAATAGTTAAAACAAACCTGTGCTTCTGCCAAATTTTAAAATGTTCTTTAACAAGCAGTAGAAACCATTCATTATACGTTATGTTCATAAGTGTCATAACACTTTTCTGTACCACCTATTATTTTACTCCCTTCCCCCAACAAAAGATAACATTATGAGCTTGGGGAGGCTGCAAGGATTGGGACTCGTTTGTGTATAAGCTACCCAAAAGTGCAGTGATTATCCAGATTTCTTGACTCAGCCAACTTAAGCCTAAAAGAGCTAAGTGAATGGGGTTTTGTACACTGTTGTAGCACTTGTTTCTTTCAGTGCTACAGTAGTATTGAAAGAACTACTTTTATGTTTAAAGATAAAAACTTCTCATTTGGGGGGGAAGGTATTTGTTTTTTTTTAAGTTCACTAGGTTTGGTTCAACTTTTTTGCTAACGTTGGGGAGGTAGGTTTTATGGAGCCCCAATAGGGATACATCCCCATGAGCATGCATGTGCAGTTTTGCAGTGCCACAAAACGGGTCTGTAGCACTGCAATCACACATGCCACACATGCAGGCGTTCACCGCACTGCTTAATTTGCAATGTGGCGGGGGGTTTTGACACCTCCGCCACATTGAACAGGAAAGTCTGTATATTTGACTTAACTATACATATATTTGACTTAACAATTGGCACATAATCATTTATAAGCTCATTCATACACATGTTGCTGAATGTTTTATCTGTTTGTATAAATGTCACAGACACTGTACTATGTTATGTGCCACCCTTCAAGTAAGTGCATTCAAGGTATTCAAGTAAGCACATTCTGAATCTTGAATGTCTTCATTTTTCCCTTTAAAAATAGCTGTTCCCAAGCTGCAGTATTTCTTTGGTGATAAGTCTGCATATTTCCTTGTGAATAGAAAAATATTCAAGTGACAAACTTAACAATGAGAAGCTGCTAAATAACTAAAAGCTTAATAGCAACATACTGCTATGTTGTTTTTTTTTAAATTAGATAAGTTTAATACAGATTCTTGCTTTATTATGGAGCGTGTCTTTTATAGAAGGAAAGTCTCATGGAAAAAACCTATTTTGAAAGTGGCATGCAATGGATCTTTAAAGTTTAATTGGCCTATATACTTCCTTATAATGTATTTCAGAAACAGTCATTCAGTTGCCATTTAAAGTAATACGTGATTTTAGTTCTGGCTTTTTTGTTAGGGTACTGAAAAAAGGTGGCATCTCCTTTGCAGGGCACAGCATTACTATTTTGTGTGATGCATTAGGCATATGAGCAACATTTGTAATGATATTGCGTTGTCATTATTTTCCCAAGCACTTTTGCATCAATGCACTGATGTTTTTGATTAGAGCTAAAATTGTTCTGGTATGTGACTGGCCATAAAACTCAATATATGAAAGGGCATTAACTGAAAACAGTGCAATTTAATTACATGTTATCTGCGGTACTTCAAAGATTAACCTATTCAAAGGGTCCCCCTTATCAGATATTGTAACTATCACTTCCTTCTCTAAACATATTGTGGATTTTGTATCATATTGTATTTATTTCATTTAATTTTTTAAAAGATGTTTTCTTTAAAGCTCTGTATATATTGACATTAAAGTTTGCATTGTACTACATAATCCTTGTAAGGCTGAATCCAGTAGTGCATTATAAAGTATGTTTTTACGTTGCAGTATGCTGCTGAAAAGTACTGACGCCTTGAATTACAACATGCCAAAGAAACATAAAAATTGTATTTATTTTTGTTAAACTTTGTGAATAATTTTAAAGGTGCAGTTTTAAATAGCTGGTGGTTCCTTGGGTACTAGAATAAAAGGTTGCACATTCTTAATACTTACAGTTGACCAAATTTGATCATTTTATGGTTCAGAAATTTTCAGCCCCATTTTAAAATTTTATTAAAAAAAGAAAAAACATGCAAACAACATTGAAATTCACAGTACTGATTACTGTCTTTAGCAATCCTTGCTAATATTTCAGGCATGAGCCAGGTGTGTTTCCATAGTTAAAATATAGTCTCCATTAACATGTACGTATTATGCACTTTAA